CATTCTAGCATTTCCATTAATCTTAAGTTCATATTTATCCATACGTGAAGGTAAGATAGTACTACCATCATGCAAGTTCTCAATGTAAAGGTGCACAAGTGTGTGTTTGATGGAATAACTCGCACACAGGCAGCGGACATGTGAACTGTGAATGCATGTGATTGTTGAGCACTGTGAATGTGGGGTTTAGTGTTTTTTATTTGGTAAAAAAATCTCCACAGACAGGCAAGCATGCGCCCTGTGCTCTGATGGTGGTCTCTCCTGTCCTATGCATGTTACAGATACAGAAAACCGCATGGTACAGGATACGCTTTTATTCTGTTATGTGCAAACTTCAAATATAGAAAGCTAACAAATGCTTCAGTAACAGATAAAAGCAGAATGTTGTTTTGTTTAAAGGGAAAGCTCACCCAAAAATGAGAAATCTGATGCTTGTGATGTTCAGACCTGTTTCACTTTCTTTCTTCTTCAGTCGTCACGAAGCTGATTACTATTATAATAAAAGTATAAAAAATGATTTAAAATAGCTTAAATTTGGGTCTGTTCCTCACATAAAGGACTGTATGACTTCAGGAGACTTGGAATATAGTGAAGTTGTTGTATGCACTTGTCCTTTTCTGAGCTTTGCCAGTACACCTCAAATGCAATTTTGGGTGCACTGTCCCTTTAAGAGCTCACTCAAACTGTTTGAGTGTTTGAAAATGATTTGTGATGTTCATATTTCATTTCATGATGGAACCATAGGTACTTCAAGCAGATTTCTCTCTGTTCAAAGAATGTGAAACTGTTTGGTTTCAATCTTATGTTTTATTTTACATTTATGGTCCATTATTGTCTTATTTTTATGATTCTTTTATGCCACTGCCAAAAGAAAAACCTCTTCCCTTATGTTTCCTTCACTTGCCTTAATTACTACATGCTGAACTTTTATTTGGTTTGTTTGGATGGTTGGTTGAAATACAACCAGCTTTGTATAGTCACCCACTGTGAATAACTGTTTTCACAAAATAGATTTAGTAACATTTAGATCACAGCGTAAACCTGTATCTGTTGATCTGTTGAAGTCTTTCTTTAGTGATTACAGTGATCTCTTCGTCATGTGGTCTGAACTTCTGTTTAAATCTCGTTCATAGGTGGACACGGAGCTGTTAGCTTTCTTTTGCCAAAGCATTTTTAGCTGGCCTTTGTAGAATTTGAACTGATTCGCGACACTTGTGTAAATCATGTCTGGTGTTTTGTTTGCATTAAAAGTAGATAAATGATGAACGGATTTTTATGTTGTTTCTGAATGTGTTTATATTGACATTTAAATTGCAGTTGAATTGCATCCACTACAAGAGCGTTTTGAGTTTATTTATTCACACTTTGTTTAATGTGAATGTTCTTTTACAAGATACTCCTTTGTCATCTGATTGGTAATTTTAGAACACTGCATATTATATACTGCCTACTGTTTTTTTTATTATTAATAAGAGGTGAATGCATCATTAGGTAACGATCAAGTTAGGGGCTTTTCACACTGCGCTTAACCCCGGGTTATCGGCATTCCCTGCTTTTAATCACGGCTAGAGTAAAGTTTCACACTTTAGAAAAATGTAGAACCCCGCTTTTATCCGGGGTTATGAATCCTTGCTCCGGAACAGGGTTAGCAGCGCTTTTGCAGTCTCAAAGAATATCACAGCTAGATGGTTAGCAACCGACAGCCATTGGACCTTTTTCACATTTCCGGGTTTCTCAGCAGCAGAAGTCGTCCTAGTTGGTTAAACTATAAAGCAGTGAATGGGAGACTACCACAAATATATTTTTTGCGTTCCCATTTGCTCAAATAGCAAAAGAAAAACTCCATGATAGTGTTTTCATGACTTTCAAAAAAAGGAAAAATAAAAAAATAGAGAGAGAGACAATTGGCAGTCAGTTGACAGAACGATGTCAAATTGACCGTCACTCCCATAGATGCTGTATTAGAAACACCCTTGCATTAGTGTTTACTAGTTTGTTTGTTTGTAGAACATAAATATGTGAAAATGAGGCATGCGATTGGGTGTTTTCACGACACGTCATCAATCCAGAAGTCGGCCATATTGGTGGCACTGAACGTAAACAATGCCAATGGAACTCGTGTATGGGCTTGGTGAAAAAAACTAAGTAGTTCACTAAGAAACAGAAGGAAGAATTGTCGGGTCGTCAGTCCACGACAAAGGAGCCAGCTCGTACGGATCTTTACCACCTATTAACTTTAGTTTGTCAAAATATCGTGCCCTTGGTTTCCGTCTTCAGTAGTATATTAACCGTGCAATCCATGCTGTTGTTTACATCCGAGTATCTCTAATATGGCCGTGCATCTGGGTAACTGACCAAACCGTGGTGTAGGTGCAAATGCTCTGCTCTATTGGTTGTAACCTGGGGGTTACAGTGTGAAAGGTCGGTTTATGAATAACCAGGATTAATAGTTAACCTTGGGTAAATTATGAGCAGTGAGAAATGTGAAACAACCCAGGTTTCCGTTCATCAGTGGTTCAGAATAGCTGCGTCCCAAATGATGCACTATACACTATGCACTTATACACTATGTACTTATGCACTATGTACTCAACCATGTAGTGTATGAATTATATAAGGTTATTTTGTCATTTATAACCGGAGTCTGATAGCCCCTCCCCCTTTGCTACATAATTAAACCTGCGACAGTTGAGTGCATGAAGTGTCCAACATTCAACACTTTTGCTGCGTCCCAATGTGTCCACTTATACTACGCCCTTAAAGTATGTACTCTTTTGTTGAAGAAAAAGTACACACTTTTGAGTGTGTAGTAGAAGAGTAGGCTTTGGGACATACTATAATGTCATATAATTGCGTCTTTAACGGTCCGCTCTGTCGCATAATTACACGCATCCTGTCACTGTAAACTGGCCTGTCAATCATCTTGTCACAGTTAACATACTCCACATTTCATTTCATTTAACTTCCTACCATATTGGAGAGAAAAGAAGTAGCACGTTGATCTGCCAGCCGTGGGCCTTTATGCAGAGAACACTGCTCATATTTTTTGCATGATGCATTTAAAAGTTAATGGCCAAACGGATCTTTATAACAGTTCACGTTGTTGTAGATGATATATCCTAACATTAATAAAACATTAAATAAAAATGTAATGTTTTATTAATGTTAGGATATATCATCTACAACAACGTTTCATTAAATATACCATTAAATAAAAAAAATGTTATAATGATAACATTAAATAAAAAATTTTTAACAGGTTGAATGTTGATTATTAGTAACTTTATCTAAACCTCTCTACTTAACCGTCGGTCGCGCACATCCGCCATTTTTGTAGTTTTTGAACGTTTTTTATTCGTGTTTGAAGTTCTGAACCGAATCATTCGTCAAATCGCAATGGATTGTGGGTAATATTAGCCATTCGAGTGTGCTAGTGATGGGAAGTTCGGATCATTTTACCGACTCGGACCTTTGAGTCTCGTTCAGCAAAATGAACGAATCTTTTTTCGAGTCATTTCGTTCATTTTAACAAAATATAATTAAAATGTTACGTGTTACTTCCCTAATATGTCTACTA